AGTTAAAGCAGTGTTTGTATTCAGTCTGTTGTCTCTCCCTGGCAGTTTAGCAAGGCTCTGCTCCCCCGAAACTGCAAGTTTTAAATGGCAGGGAAGGATATGGGAAATGCACAACCAAAGTCAAAGGTCACATCCATCCCATTGTTTGGCTGAAAATGTCACCTCAGTCCCTAACATCCTTATACCCAAAGAGTCTGGAATGTTTGGGTTAAGGCTTCACCTTAGCCCCTGGCATCCATATATCCAAAAAGTCTGGAATGTTTGGGTGGAAATTTCCATTCCAAGCCCCCTACTCAGTCTCGCAAATAGAGCTATGGGCTTTATAGCGGAGTAACCCACTGTTAATTAATCCTTAAGCTGCTGAGACAGCTGCTGACAGTCTGTTCTCATTCTCCTAGACTTTATAGTTTTACATTTTTATTTCTGGAATTTATATACATACATACATATATATATATATATATATATATATATATATTTGGTTTTTTGAGACAGGGTTTCTCTGTAGCTTTTGGAGCCTGTCCTGGAACTAGATCTTGTAGACCAGGCTGGCCTTGAATTTACAGAGATCCTCCTGTCCGCCTCATGAGTGCTGGGATTAAAAACGTGCACCACCACTGCCCGGCTGCTGGAATTTATAATTTTATAACCTTATTCTTGGACTCTGCAATAGATCCTCACAACTGCCTGTAACTCCAGTTGCAGGGGATCTGATGGCCCTCTTCTGTACTCGACAGGCATGCACACCCAAAGTGCACATAAAGTCATGTGGGCATACATACATACATACATACATACACATGAGGAAGGCACCTGCACCCCTCCCTTGCCTATCAGAATATTTAAACAAGGGATCCTAAAGCATTAGGATTTCCCCAGAATTCTCATGCTGCAAGAAGACGGCTGAGACTCTGGTGCAGCCAAAGCTGGAACTTGCCTCCAGCAAAGGTCCACACAGTCCAACATTCTATCCGACCACCTTGTGGAGGCGACTGAAGCCGAGACAGCTGTGTGTCGATGACAGGCAAGGGAGCACTGCCTGAGCAGCACCACTTAGCTATGCATACCTCTTGCCTTCTATTTAAACACCAATCTTGGGCTTGTGAGAAGATAGATCAATCTGTAAGGGGCTTGCCTCAAAAACGGACAACCTGATTCAGTTCCTGGGTCCACATGGTGGGAAGACAGAAAGGATTCCAGAAAGTTGTCCTCTGACCTCCACACACGAGTTATCATGTGAGATGCACACTCACAATAAATCAAATGCCAAAATAAACAAATATAATAAAAACTAATCCTGAGTCTTGTATCAGGACCCTGAAACAGGACTTGAGGATCAGCAAACCTCATCACTTGCTCTTCGTTGCCGTGTGGCCATTCACTACCACCTGTTTCTGAGTGTGTGAACCACTGTGCAGGAATCCCGTGTCTTGCTGGACACTGGCTGTATGCTTGCTCTCTGCCTCTCCCTGAATCTGGATCTCCAGACTAGGCTGATAGCCAGCAAGTTCCAGACATCCTCCTATTTCTGCCCACTTGGTCCAGCTTTGGGATGACAAGAAGGTGTGGCCATGCCCAACTTTTAAATGTGAGTGCTGGGGATGGGGATTCCGAACCTTGTGCTTGCATAACAGAGTAAGCCATCTCTTAGCCACCAAGCCATCTGTCTCAATGCCACACCCTTTGATGTAACAGTGTCTCTATATAGCCCTGGCTGTCCTGGAGCTCATCATGTAGACCAGGCTTGCCAGAAATTCAGAGATCCACCTGCCTCTGCCTCTCCAGTGCTGGGATTTAAAGGCCTACACCACCATGCCATGTCTGCCATGTTTAATTTTTGATAAAGGATCTTATATAGCCTACACTGAAATCCTTGAACTCCTGATTCTCCTGCCTCACCCTTGTGAGTGCTGGGATGTCAGGTTAATGTGATGCTGGGAGGGAGCCCCGGACCTCAGGCATGCCAGGCAAATATCATCGACAAAGGCCCAGCCTCAGACCTACCTGGGTCTTTAATTGAACCACTGATTGAATAGTTCAGCCTGACTTGTTAGAGCCATCAGAGTCCAGGTTCCAGCCGTAACAGCTCTAGCAACAATAGGGTTAAATGGCCACACAAGGGAGCTGGTGTCCCCATCCAGAGAACAGAGAGCCTTACTGTTTTGCTACCAGACTTTGATGCGCTGCAGGGAGGAAGGAGGGAGAGTGGGAGGGAGGTAAGCTCCTGGAAGGCCTCAAGGTTCCCTACCAACAATGCCAACTGAGGCAAGGGTCAGGCAGTGGTCCAGCACTGAGCTGCCTCTGCCAATGGTGCCAGAGGCAATGGCTGGGTCTGGGCTTGGCGGCAGCAGCAGCTGACACTCCATTGTGGCCCCACAGTGGAGAGCACTTGGCAGGGATCACAGCCTCTCTGAATGCTTGGCCTCAGGCAAGACACTGTCTCTCCTGCTTGTTTCCTCCCCTCTGGGAATCCCAGGGCATGTCTTCAGTCCTCTCCAGGCCAGGGCAAATGGCGACCCAGGGCCTCAATGCAAATGTGGCCTCTGGAATGAATGTGAGTCTCTGTTTCATCTGGAGAATGGAGCTCCTGGTCCTGAGGTCTCAGAGATTTGTAAACAATGAAAAGTCATCAACAGCAGAGCAAGGTGGGGAATGCCTGGGATCCTAGCCCTGGGGAGGCAGAGGCAGGAGCTATTCTTTCCTATGTGAGAGACTTTGTCTAAAAAAAAAACAAAAAAATTACACAGAAAAACCCTGACTCAAAAAACCACCACCAGCACCATAACCACCACCACAAACAACAACAAGGCTAAGTAGTTGAGAGCCCATACAGCTCTTCCAAAGGACCCGAGTTCAGTTCCAAGCACCCACATCAGGTGGCTCACACTTGACTGTATCTCCAGCTATAGAGGATGCCTTTGACCTCCACAGGTATTTGCACACACATATGCACAAAATTAAAAATCATAAAAATACTTTAAAAATCAAAACAAAAATAACTGGGCACGAGGGCACACACATTTAAACCAGGGTTTGAGAGATCAAGGCAGGTGGATTTGAGTTTGGGTTATCATGGTCAACATAGCAACTCCCAGACCAGTCAGGGCTACATGGTAAGACTCTGCCTCAATATACAAAGAATGAAATAAATAAAATAAAACAAAGCCACACAAATTGGCAATGCTGTTCTATTCCCTGGACCCTAGGTGGATCCCTGGTTGCAGGCATCCTGAACACAGTCAAAGTGACTTTGAATCCAGACTGATGAAGTTTTCCTCATCCTATGAGTCCCAGAGAAATCAGTTTACTTATCCAGGAACACACAGCAGAAACAGCAGAACAGACAGACAGACAGACAGACAGACAGACAGACAGACAGACACACACACACACACACACACACACAAACACACAGGCTTTTACAGTAGATTCTCCCTCGGCCCATTTCTCCAATATTATTACAAAGGATATCAAGTGCTAAAGAGTAGAAGGGACCCTCCTCATAGGAGAGAACACCTTGTGAGGGGCACCCTCTGAGGAGTCATTGGGAGCTAAGACTGTGGCACATCTAGCTGAGGCAGGGGAGGTGATAGGCCTGAGGTGGCCAGTGCAGATGGGAACAATGAGATGGGGAGATGTCTTCAGTCCTTAGTGAGGCCTTACCAGGCCTAGAGTTCCTCAGGGCAAGTGCCCCATGGAGCTGAGGGCATTCCTGCCTTCTACTGTATTGAATGTGTGAGGCTGGGGTTATTCAAGTGACACTCAGTGTAGACAAAGGGAGAGACACATGTGTGAGGTCATAAGCAAGGTGACCTCTGCTCCTTGGAGCTGACCCACTGCCTGAAACTCCATGAGATTCAATGCCCTCTTCTGGCCTCCATGTCTCCTGATACACGTACACATAAATATAAATATTAAAAAACATACAAACAACAGTGGATGAAGGCTAGGGTGGCTGGAAAATAAGCAAGAAGCTGTGGGGAAAATGGTGGGAGGTGGGTGGGGGTTTATGGGGTGCAAAAAGCCTTGAACAGAGAGCAAAGGGAAGTCAGAGGTAGACTGGGAATGTGATGGGATAAGAATCACAGGGCCAGCCCTCAGGTGTCCCTGGGTTTGAAGTCTGCCCATGGTCACACATATCACCGACCCAGACACTAAGTCATCCAATCTAGGCAGTTTGAGACTAAGACCCTTCACCTACATTCTGGCAGGTCCCCTGAGTGTGGAGAAGGGTGGGGTGACTAGTCCAAGGTTCATGTCTGCCTTTGAGCTGGCAGGGCCTCTCCCTGTCCAGTGGAGAAGCTTGGAGATTTGGGTGGCTGAGTTAGGATACAGCCCCCAACACATGAAAGCAGCCAGCAGCAATGGCTGGTTCCCATGGAAACCAAGAGCTTCTGGGAAAGGCACACAGGTTCAGAGCTATGAGAGGGGGTTAGGGAAGCCTATGAATATGGGCAGGAGCAACTTGGTGACCATGATGCGACTTCTATTTGTGATTTCAGCTGCCTAGGGATCTGCAGAGTGTTGGGGAGGTTGAGATGGTAACAAACAGTGTATATCTCACGTATGGGGAAACTGAGATATACACTGAGAGAAGTTGGGGGCCTACGACACTCAGTGAGGGATGACAGGGTGGGGCGACAGTGTGTGGAAACAGACTACCTGCTCAGAGCCAGAGTCCAGCGGGGGCTGTGCCGTCTCTGCACCCCCAGCACAGGCCAAGTGACATGGATCCCAGACCCAGTGGCGTATGTAATACAGGCTATGCCCCAAACCCCGCTAGTGCCTGCAGCAACCTTAAGTGTCCATGGCCTGTTCTCCCTGAAGTCATAGTCACAGCCCCCACAGAGCTGTGAGGAGATCCTCTATGCCGGCATCGGCAGTTGCAGCATCAGGGACCTGGGCAAACTTCAATGGATGAGTCCGAAAGCCCTGACTGTGTCGGCAGCACCAGAAGTTCCGGATCCATTTTATAGGTAAGAAAAAGCTGAGGAGCCTGGTTCTAAATCACACTCATTTATTATTATGATGCGCGTGTGCACACCCTAGGGCACATACGGAGGTCAGAGGACAACAGTGCACCAGTCACTTCCCTCCCCCACCATTGGATCTTGGGGAACCGGCTCTGGCAGAAGCACATCTCCCATGGAGCCTGACCAAGGAGCAGCGTTATCAACAGATTGGAGCCCAGTCAGACACCAGCTTGCAGGGTCCCCAAACTCCAACAGAATGCTGCAGTTCCATGTGCCCTTTGCCCCAGAATTGCTGAGCAAAACTGTGGGCGAGAAAGGGCACTGGAAGGGGTGGGTCCTTAGGTCATCACTGTTGCCTGTGGGGACACAGGACCCAAAGGCGGCTTCTGTCCTTCCCTCACCACTGACCTGCTGAACACACTTTTGCTCTGGGTGGCATGGGCACAGAGCTCACATGTCCTGGGGTTTGGTGACCTCGCTGAGCTGGGGTCATGGTGCCAGGTCACCCCTCTTTCCTGTCCACAGTTCACGAAGCTCCACGCGGCAGCCCAGGTCTCGTAATGCGGCCTTGGCTACATCCTCACAGTCTGGGTGGGCAGCTCGGGCTTGCGAAATGAGCTCCTCTGCCCCCAGGTCCAGGATGGGCTTGGAGAAGACCTGGCTGCGGGACACCAGGTTTCGGATCAGCATACAAGCCTGCTTCTGGAAGAGAGATGGGCTGTGAACAGGAGGGCCTTGGTTGGATTCTCCCTGACCTCAGTGTACTCCTCAGAACAGGAGACAGACATTCAGCAGACAGCTACACTAGGCCAGGCTAGCTCCACATTCTCAAGGGACCTTCTCAGCCCCATCTCCCACAGCTCCTAGGTGAGCACTGAGGACAGTATCTGGGGTAGAGACTATGATTACAGGGCGGACAGCAACACACTGTCCCGAGGTAGGCCCTGGAGACCTACAGTGAGGCCACGGCTAAAGGAATGTCAAAGTCATTTCTCAAAGAGTCACCCATTTGGGTTGGTTTCAGGAACCTTCATGGGTCTTAAAGTCCCCAATGCACAGACCATCTGCCGCAGCCAGGTCTGCAGAGAACCACACACTGTCCTACAGCTGTGTGCATGATCCCAATGTTTAGGAGTTGACAGCAGACATGATGGCACAGACTGATAATCCAGAGCTCAGGGCTGAGGACATAGGACCCTGACCGCCAGGCCTGTGGCAGCTACAGAGCTACAGCCCTGTTTCAAAGGAAAAACAGGGCAGGGATCAGCCTGCCTAGCATGTAATAGGCCCTGGGGTTCTGTCCTCATCATGAGTGTTGAAGCACAGGCCTGTCACCACAGCACTCAGCAGGGGATGGCAGGAAGATCAGGAATTGAAGTAGCCAAAAAAGTTGAAGGCCAGTCTATGTTACATTTGACCCTGTCCAAACGAACAAATAAAAACAACAGAAAGGAGATAAAAACTGAAACAGGACAGCCTCTGGCGTTGTGTGTATGTGTGCATATGTAGTCAAGTGCCCAAACTGTCCTGGAACTCACTCTGTAAGGCAGGCAGGTCTCCTGAGGAATGGGGTCACAGCTTCCACCCCTGGCTTGACATGCTTCCACAGTGTCAAGGAGCCTGTGGTCTTGGGCTGTGGTGGGCACAGCTACTCACTCACCTGGACACCGGCCTCCTGTGGGTGTGCTTTCATGGCCTGCAGGGCTGCCAGTGCTCCTCCACCCTCCACAATGACACGGCTGTTCTCAGGCTTGCGTAGGGCCAGCACGCAGAGTGCTGCGCAGCTTTGCTCACACACCTAGGAGTGTGGGGTGGGTGGCACCAACTGAGATTGGTGCCAGCACAATTGGCCACCCCACCCTGGGCCTCTGCTAGCTGTGTGTCACTGCAGTGGTGGGCTGGGTGCCCAGGCATGGGTGGTGAGCCTACCAGGAACACTGCAGTCTTGCTGACAGTGAGGTGGCAATCCCTGTAGATCCTGCCATTGTCCTGCCCATGTGTCTGAGGTGGGTACCTGGGGGCTGGCCAGGTGCCGAGTCATGGCAGCCACAATGGACTCTGTAGCGCCTGCCTGGACAATGGCGTCCTTCACATTGTCGTTGCCCGCGATAGCTCTCAGGGCACTGAGCACTTGTTTCACGAGGTCCTGTGTGGATGACAAGGGGAAGTCACCCTGGCATGTGTGCCAGCTGCAAACCTCCTGCTTGCTGGATGTGAGGATAAGGAAACTTTTCTGTGGCTGCTTCTGTTTGGACACATGTGGTCATTCCAGGGTTACAGGACAGCCTGTGACAACAGGATCATGAGACTGGAGAAAGACAGGCTGGCTCTTGTGGGGTGACCAGTCTAATCCACATCACATGGGTAGGGCATGAGATGTGGCCCCCACTGAGCAACCTGAACTAAGGACAATTTTCCATTTCCTTACTCTTGCTCACTGTAGAGAACGTGCAAGTAGGATCTGGGCAGTAGCTCAGCCGGTAGTGTGTTTGCCCCCATGCACAAGCCCCTGAGTTCTAGCACCCACACCAACCACACAGAGCTTGGGCAAGGTAGCACACATGGATCAAATTCAAGGCCAGCTGGGACTACAGAAGACCTTATGATCCCGCCTCACTCTTTCTTCTGTCTTTCTCTCTCATAAACACATGCACACATGCATGTACACAGTCTGTCATCCCAGTACTTGGAAGGCTAAAGCAGGAGGACTGCAATATTATGATCAGCCTGAACTTTGTAGAGCAAGACCAGTTTCAAACTATAGTAAATAGGGCTGCAGTGTGACTTGGTGGCAGAGGGCTAACATGTAGGAGGCTCTAAGTCTCATCAGTATGGGGAGGGGGCAAATGGAACCAGAACCCTGAAAGTTGAGAGTATGGGCAGGCTTTCTACACCTGAGTCTTCACCCTTGCCCTCTCCTCAGTGGGTCAGTCTGGTCAGCTGTGGCCTCAGAGGCAGGAGCCCTGGGGGAGGAAGAAGACTTTGGGCTCCACCTGGTGATCACTGCAGTCAGTCAGCAGGGTCACAAGGATGCCAAGGCCTCCAAGGTCGATGACCTCCTGGCAGAATTCATTCCGCACAGCCAGACGGGACAGGGTGCTGAAGAGTTCGCTCAGGACTCCCGGGTTGTCAGGGAACGCTGTGCAGAGGCAGGAAGGAAAGAGTTGGGGTTGGGAGGGGCCAGGGACAAAGGAATGCACAGAAAGCTGCCTGTTAGTCTCCTGAGTACTCTCCACTTCCCAGGCTGGTAGTCATCCAACAAGTCCAGGCAAGAATTGGCCCCTGGTAATCTGCCACACCCCCTACCGGCAGCTCCAGAAACTGCTCCGTAACAGTGAGGCAAACAGCAGCTCCTGACATTCCCTAAACACACCTTAATCCCAGCTCTGGAGGCAGAAGCAGAGGCAGAGGCAGAGGGATCTCTGGAAGTTTCAGGATAGACTGGTCTACACAGCAAATACTAGGGCTTCATAGTGAGACAGTCTAAAAGGAAGGAAAAAAACTAAACCACCAAAATAAGTCTTCCAACATGACCTTGAGGTTCTAGGCTGGGAACGACTTTTCTCAAGACAGGGTTTTTCTGTGTACCCCAGGCTGTCCTGGAACTTGCTCTGTAGACCAGGCTGACCTCGAACTCAGAGATCCAACTGCCCCTTCCTCCCGAGTGCTGGGATTAAATGTGTGTACCACCATTGCCCTGCTGGGAATGACTTTTGTAAACACAGCAGCAAATTGGAGAGGAACAGGTGCAGACAGACTATAGACGTACCCCCGATGGTGATGGGTCAGCAGTTTTCATCTCTGTGGCATTTGCTGCCTATGACCACCTGGAACCCCTAGCATCTCCACACAGGTTGAGCTAAGTGAACTATTGATGTGGTCACTAACCACACCATCTGCCTTAATAAAGGGAGGAGTGCAGTACAGTGGGTGGGGCTTATCCAATCAGGTAAGGGTTTTGGTAAGTGGGGAACTGAGGCTTCTCAGTGGGGTTGCTGGGAGTCTCTGGTCTGCCCTGGGGCCTTCAGACTACCAGAATGTGAGCCATCCTCTACTTGGGACTCCAGCTGCTCCACACAAGTATGGGAGGGGCTGGCAGGCTTTGCAGGTGGCCAGGCCTCAGCGCTCTGAAGTGTGAGCAGGGACTGAGACAGCCTTCCTGTCCCTTAGCCATGGGGTCACAGCCAAGGGGCACGTGGGAACTTGTCCTTTTTAGCACCTTCTGGGCTCAGTTCTCAGGGTTTTTGTATCTTTGTTGTTTTGAGACTATGTAGCTTTGGTTGGCCTAGAATTTGCTATGTAGATCTAGAGGGACTCAAATTCATCTCTCTCTCTCTCTCTCTCTCTCTCTCTCTCTCTCTCTCTCTCACTGGAATTAAACGTATGTGTCATCACAGTGCCACTATAGCCAGCTCTTTCAGACATTTCAAACGGATGAAAGGGACAGGCTGGAAGAGAGTAGATTTAAGGTATGAAGATCAACATCATGATTGCCCACAGCTGACTCATAGCAGCCACCTGGAGCTGGATCCATGTATTGCCGAAGTATTTATACATGAGAACAAAGTGTTGGGCTGCTTTGTTGTTTTATAGTGCTAAGGATGAATCCAGGACATCCTATATCTAGGCAGGTCTCTGAACCACACCCCCAGCCCCTCACTGGGGGATTCTAGGCAGGGGCTCCACCCTGAGACACACCTCCAACCCTTCATGGGGAATTCTAGGCAGTGGCTCTACCCCAGACATGCCCCCAGCCCCTCATTGGGGGATTCTAGGCAGGAGCTCTATGGTTGGGCTACCCTCTCAGTACACCCACCCTACTCTTACCAATGCTGTTCCTACCTCTGGCAGCCTCAATCAGCACTTTCAGGCCTCTGTTCTCTTGAACAATCATCTTTGCATGCTCATGGGCATGGCCAAAGGGTACTCGGATGTCATCATCGAAAGTCATGACCCGCAAGGCCCAGCAGGCCTCCCTGACCACATCGGCGTGCTGGCCATGCTGTGTGATAGCAGCGGTTAGCAGGGGCAACACTCCGGCTTTCACCAGACTCTGTCGATTCCGTTCATGCTTCAGGCAGGCATGGCGCACACAGCGGATCCCACAAGAAGTGAGTTCAGTGTTGGAAACATTCTGTGCCAGCGTGGCCACCAGCAGCTGCTGGCCCTGAGCATCCAGAAGGTCAGGCTGGCCATCAGTCAGCACCGCCAGAGCATTGAGAGCCTGGAGCAGAAGGCCCTGGTCGCTTGTGGCGGCAAGTTGCCAGGCAGCCAGGAGGATAGGGTAGGCCCCCTTCTGGGCTGCCAGGTAGCGGCTGGCCTTCTGCTGCCTGCACTGGTCGCAGAAGCGGACAAGGTGGGCTGACACCTCCTGGGGCCGAGAACCATTCAGGGACTCCTGCAGATCGCTGAGGACCTGCAGAGAATGTCAGTGTTAGTTGCTGCTCGGCTCTGAACCTCTGGGAACCTCAACTTCACTCTAGAATCTGGGCCCAGCACGGCTAGATTCATCTGGAAATTTCTATACCTATACTGATAATTTAAGACAGAATCTAAGTCAGGCGATGGTGACCCATGCTTTTAATCCCAGCACTCGAGAGGCAGAGACAGGTGGATCTCTGTGGGTTTGAGACCAGCCTGGTCTACTGAGTTCTAGGACAGTTTCTTTTCTTTCCTTTTTTTTTTTAAAAAAAGATTTATTTATTTATCACGTATACAGTATTCTGTCTGCTTGTATGCCTACAATTAAGGAGAGGGCACCAGATCTCGTCACAGATGGTTGTGAGCCACCATGTGGTTGCTGGGAATTGAACTTAGGACCTCTGGAAGAACAGTCAGTGCTCTTAACCTCTGAGCCATCTCTCCAGCCCTCTCCAGGACAGTTTCTAAAGCTACAGAGAAACCATGTCTTGAAAAATCAAAAAAAAAAAAAAATTCAAAAAAAAAAAAAAAGAAAAGAAAGAAGACAGAATCTTTATTTGTGTTTGTGTGTGTGTTCGCATGCGTATGTATGAACGTGTACACACATGCATATGATACTCTCAGAGTCCAGAATAGGAAGAAGGATCCCTCAGAGCTGGATTAACAGGCTGTTGTGAGCCACACCATGTGAGCGCTGGGAATTGAACCTGGGTCCTCTGTAAGAGAAGCAAGCAAACTTAACTGCTGAACCGTCTTCACAGTGCCAAAACAGGGTCCAGGCCTTATAATTATGTTGTACAAGTTGGCCTGGAACTCACAGGAAACCTCCTGCAACAGCTTCCTGAATGCTGGGATCCTGTACATGAGCCACCATATAATCACCATATTAAAAAGAAAAACAAATCTTTGATGGTATCTTATGTATTATGGGTGTTGTGCCTGCACGTCTGTCTATGCACCACTGATGCACATAGCCATGCCTGATGAAGAGAATGTCACATCCCATAGAACTGGAGTTACACATGGTTGTGAGCTGCCATGTGGATTCTGGGAACTGAACCTGTGACCTCTGGAAGAACAGCCAGTTTCTTAGTGGCAGAACCAGTTCTCCAGCCCTTCTCTGCCTCCGCTGTTTTAAGAACTGGGGATTGAACCTAGGGTTTCATGCAGCAGAAGTGCTCTACCACTGAGTTATAGACATCTTCAGGCCTCAACTTTTTTTTAAAAATATATATTTTATTTATTATGTATACAATATTCTGTCTATGTGTATGCCTGCAGGCCGGAAGAGGGCACCAGATCCCATTACAGATGGTTGTGAGCCACAATGTGGTTGCTGGGAAATGAACTCAGGACCTTTAGAAGAGCAGGCAAAGCTCTTAACCTCTGAGTCATCTCTCCAACCCTCAACTTTTTTTTTTTCATTAAAAAATTTTACTTATATGTCATGCATACCCACATACCCCACAACATGAATGCAGAGAGCAGAGGACAACTCCGTGGAAACCAGAGCTCTCCTCTACCATGTAAGTCCTGGGGGTCAAACTTGATGTGTAAGCACAAGGACCTGAGTCCAGATCCCTAGAACCCACACGAAACTGGCCAGAGACCCTAGCTATATTGTGTGCCCTTGACCCCAGAACTTGGGAAGTGAGATCACACATGCACTGTGTCTCCCAAACATGTCCTCCGAGGAGCTCAGCTGTCCCCAGATGCTGAGTAACTCTCACACGGACTTGGGACACTTGACTGTAGACCTCTACTGGTCACAAGATGGACAGACCACTGACATTCAGAACCTGATTTCTGCCATATGGAATGTGGGGAAGAGACCCTCCAGAGCATTACAGTGCTGAGGGAGCCAGCCGCTCCTACCTGCAGGACATCATGTGTGGGCTCCTGGAGGCTGTCCACAGACGCTTTCGGTGCTGCCTTCACAATGCTGCTCAGATCAACCCCTGCAGAGGTAAGATGGGGCTGCTGAAGACAAGTCAGTCCCTCAGGTAGGAGGTCCCTGCTGACCACTTGGCTTCCAGGGTTCTCCACAATGGTTCCTCCGGCTGCCCAGGCCAGCCACAGGCTACACAGAGTAAGTGTGCCACTGCTAAGGCCATGCCACACATGCTGTCTCTGGGGAGCGAGGAGGCAGACTGTGCCTGGCAGACAGGTGTAGAGGGGACCCCACAGAGCCTCTCCCTTTAAACTCAAACCCTTACTGGTCCCCATGTGCATCTCAGCCTCCAGAGGCCCCAAAAGCATCCCTTCTGTGGTAGGTACTTTGTGTGTGTGTGTGTGTGTGTGTGTGTGTGTACTTTAGGAGAAGGTTTCTCATTTGCTTTTGAGACAGAGTCTCACTATGTAGATCAGGTTGACCTTGGACCACTATATAGACTAGGCTAGCCTCAAACTCAGAATTCTACGTTCTTATATCTCCCAAATTCTGGGATTAAGAGAATGTGTTACCACATCAGCTAGAGGGTAGGTTTTTTTTGAGGTAGTGTCTTGTTATGTAGCCCAGGCTGACCTTAAATTCACAGTACTCTTAAAGTCTCAGCTTCCCAAGTACTGAGATCAGCTGGTAGTATTGGTGCATATTTGTCATCCCAGCATTGGGAAAGGGAGGCAGGAGGATCAGGGTTTAAGCTAGCCTTAGCTACATAATGAGTTAAAAAGCTATATAAATCAGTCTTAAAAAGCAAATCTAAACAATAATGAAAACAACGAAAAGATGAGATCACAGACATGTACTATCATGCTATGTTTTGTTGGACAATGTATGTGTGTTTCTGTGTATGTTTATATGTGTGCATATATGCAGATTTTCATGTGTATGTGTGCATGACCATGTGGGGAGTGTTCATGTGTATGTGTAGATGGTTATGTGGGGGTATTCGTTTATGTGTGGATAGTCTGTGGTGGGTGTTCGTGTGTGTGCTCACGTTGTAGTGTTTGTGTGTAGGGATGGTCATGTGGGGGCGTTTGTATGCATGGATGGTCGTGGTTGGTGTTCGTCTGTGTGTGTGTGTGTGTGTGTGTGTGTGTATGGTCATATAGGGTGTGCAAGAGTCATGGAGGCCCAAGGTCAAACTCAGCATCATTCCTCAGCAGCTGTAATCTCATTGCAACCTGAAGCTCACCAATTAGGCTAGAATGGCTGGCCAGCAAGCCCCAGCAATTTACCTGTCACCGCCTCTCAGTGCTGGGATTACAAACATCCATCCCATTGTGGGGGTGTAGTGTGGTGTGCATGACTTAAATCTCAGCACTCAGGAGGCAGAGGCAGATGGATCTCTATGAGTTCCAGGCCAGCCTGGTCTATTGAGCAAGTTCTAGGACAATCAGAGCTACATAGAGGAATCTTTTTTTGAAAAACCAAGCCAAACCAAAACAACCCCTACCAAAAAACCCCCAAATCCCCCCCCCCAAAAAACCATACCTCATCATGGCTGGCTTTTTACATGGGTTCTGGGGACAAACTCAGCAAGTATTTTAGCAAATGAGTTGCCTCTGCAGTCAGGCTCCCACATTTTCTTGACTGCCCACTACAGCACCCATTTCTGTGCCCTGGAGCCAGAACTCTCTTACCTTCCGGCTGACGTCACTGTTACCAGGGAGAGCCAGATAGAGTGGAGACACGAGGGAATGGGGTGTGCTCATGCCTAGAACCCAGCCTCCACCACTGCACACATGGTCAACTCATCTTGAGCCTCTGCTCCTTGTCACGTAGGTCAAGAGCTCCAAACCCTACCGGCACCACCACCATCGCCATCATCAAGTAGCCCTACCACCCACTCTCCTCCATGACTTGTGACTGACTCCAGGACATGGCAATAGTCCATGTGGTTCTAAGGTGAAGTGGGGTGCTGTTGATGCATGAAGACAGGCAAAGATGGGGTCAGTAGCACCCTGTTGTTATGTCAGGCTGAGGGCTGTGGACTCTAAGAGCCGGTGCTGAGCCTACCACTCTACCTTGTGATTCAAACTGCTCCACCGCCTCTCGAACGGCCTCCTCAGCGCCCATCTCAAACTCTTCAATGTTCTCCCGCACTGCAGCATCGAAGGTTTCCTGTGTGATGCGCTTGGAAGCCATCTCTGCATACCGAGTGAAAAGGAACATTTGGTCAGGGAACACCCTTGTGGTGAAAATGTCACTAGGGCACACCTGTGATGGCAGCTCTTGGGAGGCAGACAGAAGGGTCCTGGCCAGTGGGAGGCCAGCCTTGGCTACATAGTGAGACACTATCTCAAAAAGACAAAAAGAAAAAGATAAGGTCTGCTGGTGAGATGGGTCATAAAAGGAAAAAAAACCAGAAGGTCAATTAGGTCTGCCAGGCCACAATGAAAACTGTGAGAGCACTCTTCTGTCTATATCACCCTGACTGTCCTGGAACTCACAGAGATCTGCCTGCCTCTGCCTCCTTCCCGAGTGCAGAATTAAAGGCGTGCGCCACCACTGCCGAGTTTCTCAGAGATTCTAACAGTGCAGAAGAACTCAGGCTGTCACCCAAACATTTGAGATGCTGTCTAGATGCTGAGATGCTGGCGAGAAGGCTCAGGGTTAAGAAGGTATGCTGCTCTGTGAGTGCTGAAGTAGTCTCCACACAGACACCCGCACCTGCGACTCCAGCACAGGACACCTGAGACCTTCACACACACACACACACACACACACACACACACACACACAAATAATACAAACACAAATGATTAATAGTATTAAACAATTTCAAAATTTGTTGTTATTATTATCACTAAAGCACGAGTAAACCAGAGGCAAGCTAATCTCTGAGTTCAAGGCCAGCCTGGTCTACAGAGTTCAGGACAGCCAGAAAAACGAAAAGAAAAAAAACAAACCACAAAAAAATGAACAAACCTAATCTCAGCACACCAGAGGCAGAAGTGATGAACCGCTGTGAATTCCAGTGAGACTCAGTCTCAAATAAATAAGTAAATAAAATAATTTTTAAAAAGTAAATAAAAACTGCCTGGTTCAAGCATCTCCTCTCTCACAATTACTTCCTCCATTTTTGTTTATAAGATAGAGCTTCATGTAGACCTGACTGTTTCCTAATTTGCTTTGTAGCTAAAGCTGTACTTGAATTCCTGATCCTCCAGACTCTTCCAACAAACAAACCACTGCTGTTTTTGAGGCTGGGTCTGGTAACACAGCCCAAACTGGTATGGAATCGTCCTACCTCCCTGTTTTCAAGCTCACGCCTGTTCTTGCTGTTTTGTTTGGTCGTTTTTATTGTGAAAGACAGTGTGTCTACGTAGCTGAGGCAGGTCTCGAACTCACAGCAGTCCTTCTGCCTCGGTCTCCCTTAGAGCAGCATGACAGATGCAGCAATCACGCTTGCTCCATCACCATTATATTCACAGCAGGACCTGCGTCCCCTGAACCCAGAGCCATACTGTCTTGCACGTCCTATCCTCCTTGCTCCACTGCCTAGGATGCAGATGGACACGCAGCAGGTGCCCAGCACACAGCAGTAGCACGAGAATAAAATGAATGAAAAGAACGTGAACCCGAGAAGCGAAACATTTCGTTCCCAAGAATCTTTAGTACAATCCTCTCCTTCCACCAATCCAAGTCCCCGAGGGTCGCGCAGACACCACCAGCCCGACCCCGGGACGCCCACCCTCTGCGCCCACCGCAGGACTAGCCGGCCGGCGTTCCTCACCGGGTCTACGCTGCCACGTGGGGGTGAAAGGGTGGGGCTCCCGGGTGTCGCCCGAGGCTCCGCCTTTGGCTCCTTCCGGCCACCATATGCGCGCAAGCGCAGAGGCGCTGTCTCGCCTCGGCGTCCCTCCCTCAGCGAGGAGCTCCCTTCGGGGTAACAAAGGCGACCGCGAGCACAGGTAAAGGGAAGGGAGCCACTGAGTATGCGTGGGTCTGGAGCCCTCGCCTCCCTTTCCGCGCTGCTTCTAGTTATCGTTTCCCCTCAAAAGAGATAGTTTTCACCTCGGTAGAATCCGCCCTGAGAAGCGAGCAGCGCGCGTGCGCGATAGAGCCACGATGGCTGCTGTCGACGCCTGCGCATAAGGGCCTAGGTGGTGGCTGCCCTCGAATGCGCACCAAGGCGAGGAGGCGGTTTGCGCAGGCGCAACTCGGCGCTGCGGAAACCGTTGGCTTATTTGCATCTCCCCGCCTCGCGAGGCGGCGGGTACGGAGCCTGAGGCGGCGGCGGGGGCGGCACCGCTAGGGGTGAGGCCCGGGCCCTGGCCACCAGGAAGGGCGGGCCCCGGGGTGGGGAGGACTCCGGGTGGCCCCGGGGCCAGCGCGTTCCGCTGGAGCTCGCAGCTGGCGGGGCGAGCTGGGCGTCACGGCCAATGGGCTTCGCGTCGGGCCTCCAGCTGCTGGGAACCGCTGCAGCCTCGGTGCCTGCCGGTCCCGTAGGTGGGAAACGGAGGTGCAGATGTCAGGACCACCTGACCTGGAGACCCTGCCCTTAACTGACCTGTCGTTTTCACGGGGCATGGGGAAACTGGGTGATCCTTGTAGAAATGACCAGAAAGCGGATTTGCCTCTTGAATTTGGAAGTGTCATGATGCAGGCTGTTACTGATACAAATGCTTCTTAGTTTTTTCTTTCTTATAGAATGTGTCCTCGTTCCCAGTGAGTGGCCTGTTGGTCAGGTTCAAGACCAAGGTACCTGACTTTGGTTGGCTAGCTCTTTTTTCCTCTCAGCGTCTTTTTCTTTTTCCTTTTTTTTTTTTTTTGGAAGGCAGGGTCTCAAATTGAGTGTGATAGCTCAGCTCACTCCTGGAATTCCAGTGCTCAGAAGGCAGAGACGGGGAGGAGCCAGCCTAGTCTGCACGTTAAGTCTGAGGCCAATCCGAGTATGTGGGTAGATCATATCTGGATCCCTTCTACTCTACCCTACCACCAAAAAAAAGGAAAAAAGTAAGAAAATAAATAAAAATAAAAAGACAAGGTCTCCACAGCAGTGCACACCAGTAACCCTAGCACTTGGAAGGCAGAAACAGGAGGGTCAGAGTTCATTGCTCGTGCCAGGATAGACTACTCTCATGTAGTACAAAACAAAAACACATGCACACACAAAACTGGGTTTTGCTGTGTAGTGCATGCCTGGAACTGGTAGCTCACACAGACTTTAAAATTGAAATCCTGTTGCTCAGTCCCCTAAATATCATCAACTCCTATTGTGGGGCAGGGGCAAAAATTGATACCTGGTTATGAATTGGTTGGTCTGACTGACCACCAAACTCCAGGGGTCCTCCTTGCTCATCTTCCTCAGCACTGAGAGTGCAGGCACATGTCCTTGTGTCCCACTTTTATTCTTAATTCTTTGTATTTCTGGGTACATGGGTGGGAAGATGCCAGACTGCATCCAAGCCATCAGTCTTGGCCCCTACTAAGCTATCTCAGCCCCTCACACCCCCTTTTTTTTTTAAGATTTTATTTTTGGGGCTGACGCCAAGAAGAGATTGTCAGATTCCCCTGGAACTGGAGTTGTATGTGGTTGTTTGCTGCCCAGTGTGGGCATGCTCTCTTAACTACTGAGCCATGATCCCAGCCCCTTAGTCCTTATTGGGCTTCTCACTGTGTAGACTTGGCTGGCCTCAGAAATCCCATTGTCTCAGCCTTACCAGCCTGCGCACCACCATCCAATTCCTGTGCTGGAATGTCTCAGGTTCGCTGTAAAGAACTCAGCTCTTGGGGTGTTATTAAAAAAAGCAAAAGATTAGCTGAGAGTAGACAGTTGCTAGCACATTGCCTCCCTGTGAGAATATCATTTACTCATCCAGAGAGCTCTCAGGGTGAAGTGAGCTCTGGGAAGCCCTCCTCCAAACTGAAGTCAGGATGTTCATACCTTTCTCAAATACCTTTTTTCTAGGTTGTTCTTCCAGTTCTATTACTCTTTCCTTCCTTCCTTCCTTCCTTCCTTCCTTTCTTTCTCTCTCTCTCTCTCTCTCTCTCTCTTTCTTTCTTTCTTCCTTTCTTTCTTTCTGTTTTTCGAGACAGGGTTTCTCTGTAGCTTTGGAGCCTGCCTTGTAGACCAGGCTGGCCTCAAACTCACAGAGATCCACCTGCCTCTGCCTCCCGAGTGCTGGGATTAAGGTCATGCGCCACCACTGCCCGGCTTCTTTCATTTATTTATTTATTTATTTATTCATTTATTTATTTGGGTAGAGGTTTTGTCCCGGGGCAAGCTGTCTTGATTTGTGTGACTTCTCTCGCTGTAGGAGAGAGAAACATGGCAGCAAGGCGGGTGGCACAGGAATCACTGGACACAGTGTTACAGGAGAAATCTAAACGGTATGGGGATTCTGAGGCTGTTGGTGAAGCTCTCCAACTTAAAGCTCAAGGTGAGTTAAGGTGCGCAGGTGGGCCACGTTGACTTCTAGTGCTCTGGGTGCTAGCCAAGCTCCTCTAATCCTTGCTGTATTTGTCTGGTCACATTTTCTTGTGGCCCACCAGCTGGCTAATTCAGTGTGCAGAAGATAGAGTGTGTCAGCCAGACGCCCACCCATGAAAGAAGAATTTGACCCAGGCCTTCCTCATGCTAAAGCACATAAGCTGCCACTGTAGAGACCCTAGTCTCTACAGAAGGGTCCCTGTAAGTGTATGTGTACACATGCAGTCACATGCAGAGCTCAGAGGACAGCTTGTAGAGGGGATTCTCTCCTTTCACCATGTGGGTTCCAGGGATGGAACTCAGTTGTCAGTCAAGTTTGTGGTAAGTGCCTTTACTCACTGAGCCATCTCAACAGATGTCCCCCTTTTAAGATACTGTCTCAGCCTCCAGCAAACTGGTTGGGATTGAAATTTTAGTTCTTGCAGTCATGTCTAAACCACATCTTATGGAGTGTTATAGATGTAGCCCAGCATAAATCATAAACTGAAAACATTAAGATCTGTTGTTTTTCAAAAAAAAAAAAGTATTTTTTAGCTTGATTAGTTCTCTAGAGTAAAACCAGGGCGTGGCAAATGTAGAATGCAACTACCATCCCTGCCTCTTAACTCTGCCACCTTGATTGCACCAAGACTACAGTCAGGGCCCAAGGGATTTCAGTTTCTTTCTTGCTGGTGGAACCATGTCTGCCCCCCAACACACACACACTTCCTTTAGCAACAGCCCTTTAACACCAGATGCTGCCACTTCGCAGAGGGTGAGAGTCTCTGAGGATGGCATTTCCCACTCTGTCCTACCCACTGGGTTGCCTTGGCACCCACCTTCCCCCAGTGTGTATGTATGTGAATGGGGGTGGTGTGGTGGGTATGTGTGTGTTGTTTTCCTACACTTAGGGAGAAACCCAGGGCCAGAAACGTGCTAAGCAAGAGCTGTGCCATTGATCCATCTCCTTCCTTCAGTAATGGCAGTGCCTAGTGTGTACATAGTAGGTACTCGGTTCTTGCTAAAGAGAGGGGTTCTTGTATTTGCTCAGGAGCAGAGATATTTGTGTTTTCTTCATTATTCTGCTTCTTGGTACCTGTCCCTCTTCTTGCCTTTTTTTTGGGGGGGGGGTGTTGTGCACGTGTTCACATTTTTATGTGTTCATGTGGAGGTGCACAGGCGTGTGTATGGTGACCAAAGGTTGACATCTGGTGTCTTAATCACTTTCCACATTGTTTTGCTTTCCAAATATCTTGTTTTTAAATCACATGTTTGTGGGTCCGTGTGGGTATGTACACCTAAAGGACAAGTGAGTTACTCTGCGTGTCAGAGAGCATCAGCTTTCCTGAGCTGGAGTTGCAGGCAGTTGTGAGCTGCATAATATGGGTTCTGGGGACTGAACTCAGGTCCTCTGCAAAAGCAGCCACTGAGCCATTCCTCCAGCCTCGCCTTGCTTTTTGAGACACTTGGAGCTTACTGATATGGCTAGATTAGCTAGCCAGTGGGCCCCAGATCCAGCCTCTCTAGCCTCAGTCTTGATGGATTAGTACTGTTAATGTGGGTCCTGGAACACAACTCAGTATTTGCTTGTGCAACAAGTGCTTTGCTCCCATCTCCCTAGCTACTCCCCGCCACAGTCTTATTCTGTAACCCAGACTGGCATCAAATTCCCTGTGTGGCCCAGGCTAACCTTGAGCTCTGAGTTCTCCCTCATCTCCTGAATGCTGGCCTTCTGGATGTCTGTTACCAGACCTGGGTCCCTCTTTGTCATTTTTTTTTCCCCTTTGTTATAGATTTTGTTTAAAAATCCAACTGTGAGAAAGCTGCCAAGGCCTGCTACCGCCAAAGATGGCTTCTTTAGGCAGCTTCTTGCAGTATTTCTGTGTGCAAGAGGAACTACAACAATACCTATGCACCCCTCCCATTCTGGATGACACTCCACCTACCATACACTTAGTGTGGCTTCTTCTACTCCTACCTGCTCTGTCTCTGTCTCAGCCCCAGTGACAGAGTTAATGGCCTCTCAGACCTTTCTGCCACATTGGGGTCAGGGACTATGTTGTCTTTTGCTCAACTGTGGTGGGTGTGGCACAGGCTGCTGGTGGTATAGAAGGGTACTGCCTCCCAGTAACAGTGTGGGACATGAAGTCCTCCAGAAGGCAGTGAAAGTGGCAACCTCTGTTGGTGAAGGCTGCTCATTTGTTCCTGCCACTCAGACTTGAAATAACCACACAGAAACTATATTAATTGCAATACTGCCTATTGGCTGATAGCTTAAGCGTATTTCTAGCTAGCTCTTTTTTTTAATAGGCCATCTTTTTATTAGACATGTTATCAAAATGCTTAATCAAAAAGACCAAGGCCCATGTTGTCATTAGAGTTCTTGGATTCTTCCGTCTTTGCTTTCACTTTCTTCTACTCAGCTGGGGCAGAAGCAGTGGAAAAGGCAGGACCACCTGCTGGTGCGGCTCCAGCTGCTGGAGCAGGCCCACCAGCCCCTAGTAGCAGATAAGGCTCCCAATGTTGATACTGATTGGGGCCTTTGCAAACAAGCCAGGCCAGAAAGGTTCATCTTTGACACCAGCTGCTTTAATGAGGGAATTGATCTTATCCTCCTTGACTGTCACCTCTTCATTGTGGAGGATGAGGGAGGAGTAGATGCAGGCAAGCTCAGAGATAAAGGCCATGTTACAGACTGATGGCATGGTGCTAGTCACTGGATGAAGTGAGGGCCTCACCCCAACGCGGCCTTAGCTTCTTAAGAAGGACCGAGCATCTTGGTGGCAGCAGAGGAAAAACCTAGCTAGCTCTTATATCCTAAACTCACCCATCCTCATTAATCTGTGCATTACCATGAGGTGGTGGCCTACTGGCAAAGTTTGGTGGGCTCCAGCAGAGGCGTCTGTCTCCTATGGCGGCTACATACTTCTCCCTGACTCCCACCTACTCTCTCTCTATATATCTCTTCCAGCCTGGCTATATTCTGTTAAGCCATTGGCCGAAAGCAGCTTCTTTATTAACCAATAAAAGCAGCACATATACAGAAGGACTTCCCACACCAAGCCTCTATAAAACTTCTGGGATAGAAGTGGAGACCCTGAAGTGGGCTGGGCGTGGCAAAAAAAATCCAGGCTGCATAGAAACCAAGCCCCTTCTTTAAGGGTAGGTGGTGTGATGGTGGAGGTGGTGGCTGATAATGAGTTTGGGAGTCTGTGTCTAATGATAATGTGTGCCTGTGGGGTCACCCACTGTTTTGCCTTGGCTGATGACCACAAGGGCAAGCACAAACCTGGTGCTTACAGAATTATCTTGTTAAGTGTGATCACCCCTCAGTGCCCATAGGACATGAGCACTATATAGTGCAACTTTGGAAGATGCTTCCCCTTCGTAATGGCATGGTGGTGTCTGCATTTTGAACCCCCCCCCCAATGCAGCTAAGCTCTGAGTATTGTAGCTATAGTGCTCCATGCTGTTGTATAAGGGAGAATGCTAGAAAGGCATACAGGGAGTGCAGGTGCAAGTTTTCCATGTACTTTTACTCTTACTTGGTTGAATGCCTGGCTGCAGTTCTCAGTGGGTCAGTGTGGACTGGCCAGTAGGGAGCTAAAGGTGGCACCACACATACTTTCTTTATTGTTCTTTGTGTGTGTGTATGGTGCCTGTGTGCGTAGTGTGTACAGGTGTCTTCCCCAGGCACTCATTCTTCATTTTCTTTGTTGAAGCTAGGTTTCTTCCTGAATTTGGAGTCACCAATTTCAGCCTCTGTAGCTGGCCAGCTTGCCTTTGGGATCCCATGTCTCCACCTACTGAGCATGGTGCTTTTCCTATGGGTTCTGGGGTTCTGTTCTCATGTCCTCATACTTGCATCTCAAGCACTTTATTCTCTGAGCCATCCTGATGCCTCTTTACCCATTTTAAACAGTGTTGGCAGCAGACTGAGTTTACACCTCACACTTGGGAGTATAAAACACTTGTGTTGGCCGGTGTGTGGGCTATTCCCCTGCAGCCCATGCTCTAAAGTGCCTTCTGTTTGGTCTGTGACCATCTCTTTCAGATCTTAGAAGGACAGGCTCAAGAGCCAGAGCGGATGTCTATGAGGACGTTCACAGTGACAGTAGGTTCTCTGCCAGTGGATCTGGAGTGTACTCATTAGACTTGGGGAGAGAGGGCATGAGAGGTGACATGTTTGCGGGACCCTCCTTCAGATCCAGCAACCAGTCTGTTGGAGAGGACAGCTATCTTCGCAAAGAATGTGGTCGGGATCTGGAAGTGGCCCACACTGACTCCCGAGACCAGAGTTTTAGCCACCGGAAACTGGGACATTATTCTTCTCAGGACTGGAAGCTTGCACTTCGTGGCTCTTGGGAGCAAGACTCGGGTCACCCAGTTTCTCAAGAATCCTCCTGGTCACAGGAATATAATTTTGGGTCTTCAGTGTTGGGGGACTTGGCCTCCTCCAGGCGGTTGGAGAAGGAGAGTCGAGATTATGACCTGGACCATCGTGGGGAGGTGGACTCTGTGTCTAGAGGCAGTGGGCAAGTCCTGGCCAGAGGCCGGTCTCTAAACATGGCTGACCAGGAAGTCACTCTCCTAGGAAAGGGAGACACTCAAGGCCTGCTTGCAGCAAAGGGTGTCGGGAAACTTATCACTCTGAAAAGCACGACTACAAAGAAAATGCCTGTTGTCAGTCGTCTTACTTCCAAACCTCAGGGTACTAACCAAATCCAGAAAGCCACCTCAAGTTCTGATGTGACCCTTGGAACAAATCCAGGGCTGGATGAAATCCAGTTTGCTGCTCTGAAGATCCCCTTGGGCCTGGACTTGAGAACCCTCAGCTTCCCCAGAAGGAAGCTGGGCTTTGATGCCATGGACAAGGCAGATGTGTTCTCAAGGTTTGGCATAGAGATCATCAAGTGGGCAGGGTTCCACACCATCAAGGATGACCTCAAGTTCTCCCAGCTCTTCCAGACTCTCTTTGAATTGGAAACTGAGACCTGTGCCAAGATGCTGGCCTCCTTCAAATGCTCCTTGAAACCAGAGCACAGAGATTTCTGCTTTTTTACTATCAAGTTTTTAAAGCACTCTGCTCTGAAGACACCCCGAGTTGATAATGAGTTTTTAAACATGCTTTTAGACAAAGGTGCTGTGAAGACCAAAAACTGCTTCTTCGAGATCATCAAGCCCTTCGACAAGTACATCATGCGGCTCCAGGACAGGCTGCTGAAGGGCGTCACACCCTTGCTCATGGCCTGTAACGCCTATGAGCTGAGCATCAAGATGAAGACCCTCACTAGCCCACTGGACCTGGCTGTGGCCCTGGAGACCACCAACTCCCTGTGTAGGAAGTCCCTGGCACTCTTAGGCCAGACCTTCTCCTTGGCCTCCTCCTTCAGGCAGGAGAAGATCTTAGAAGCTGTGGGCCTCCAGGACATTGCTCCATCTCCTGCTTCCTTCCCAAACTTTGAGGACTCCACTTTGTTTGGAAGGGAATACATAGACCACCTGAAGGCCTGGCTCATGGCCAGCGGCTATCCTCTCCAGGTCAAGAAGGCTGTGCCCGCAGAGCCCCGAGAACAGAAAACCACATCTCAGCCCTGGGCTGCAAGCACTCTGAGCCAAGGTAAAGATTTCTTTTCTTTTCTTTTTTTTTAAAAAACAATATCATCACTGCCAAATTACAGTATTTATATTCCTTGTGTGTGTGTGTGTATGTATGTGGGTGGGTGTATACGTGAGTGCCAGGGCATGTGTGTGTGTATGAAGGCTAAAAGACAGCCTCAGATGTTGTTTCTCAGGAAGACTGTCCACCACCTTTGAGACAGGGTCTCACTGAACATGAAGTTCACGAGTTAGGCTAGACAGGATGACCATCAAGGCCCGGGGGCCTCCTCACTACACCTTCCTGGTTGTAGTATGTGCATGCATCATCCATCATAGGTGGCATTTTATATCAGACCTGAGATCAAACACAGGTCCTCGTTGTTGCAAGGTAACAGATGTTGTCCGTCTAGACCATCTCTTTGATATTTAAAAAATATAATGTGTGTGTATATTATATGTATGTATTTTAACATTTATATGTATACATACTTGCACACATACATTTGTACATATGTCTGAGTATGTACACTATATACTATATACGTGCAGGAACTGGTAGAGGTCAGATGAAGGTGCCCGATTCCTTGGAGCTGGAGTTCTATATAGCAGTTATGTGCTGCACAACATAGGTGCTGGGAACAGAACTTGTGTTCTTTGCAAGAGCAGCATGTGCTCTTTATTGCTAAGCCATCATTCCAGCTCCTCTCTTTGAAGTTTTTATATACTTTTTAAAAATGCTGAGACTAGAAGTCAAGGACCCAATATTTACCTTTGGTTTTGAAGCAGAGTCTCATGTAGTTCAGACTGTCCTTGAACTTCTGTTTTTTCTGCATCCACTGTTGAGTGCCAGATGACAGATGTATACCACCTCCCCTGCTTTCTGAGGTCCTGGATGGAGCCCAGGGCTTTGTGCATGCTAGATGAGTACAGTACCCACTGAGCCCCCGTTCCCCAGCCTTAAGATTCCTTGGGAAGGGACCCATTTGGGAGTCAGATGGAAAACTGGCTGGCCCTCACTAGGAACAATGCATGACCCCCTTTCACCATAGGATCGAGGCTAGGGTGCCATGTTCTGAAGTACCATGTCATTAGGTATCACTGAAGGCAGGGGAAACAGGACATCAAGACCTAGTCATTCTGTGCCCAGGCCGTGGGAAAGGTGGTTAGAATACTGAGGGGTGTCAAGGACCAGCCAAGTCTTTCCAGATGGTGCTGGTGCCTCTCACCTGATTCAGAGACATCAACAACTCTGGTATTGGCCAGAGGAAGGGATGGAAACTACCTGGTTTCCCTCTCCCTCCTGTGCTCCCAGCTTGCATGCTGTCACACCCAGCCTTCCCAGGTTTCAGAGAACATGGCACCCATCTTTTCTCTCTAACATTACCTCTAGCCCAGGGAATGTCAGCCCTGCCCTCCCCTTTATGGAGCCCTCATTGTACCAGGCAGTAGATGTCCCAACACAGATGAGTGGCCATGACCACTTCTAAGAAGAAGTTTTTCCAGTGCAGTCTGAATGCATTTCTCTTCCCGTTCCCTAATGCTAAATTTAGGGGAAGTGAAGGTAGCAAGAACCAGGTACTATGGGTAGAGGAGGAAGGGTCTAAGACCTTGGGATACCCTCTCCAGGCAGGGACCCAGGCACTGCAACAACAGACACACTAACCTGAGGATGTAGCTACTTGCTATGCTCTCTTTTTAGGTTGATTTTGGTTTGTTGTTTTTGGTTTTTCAAGACAGGGTTTCTCTGTCTAGCCTTGACTGTCTTACAATTCTCTTTGTAGACCAGGCTGGCCTGGAATGCAGAGATCCACGTGCCTCTGCCTTCCCTGATTAAAGGTGTGCGCCGCCACTACATGCTTGATTTTTTTTTTGTTTGTTTTTTTGAGTCCTTTTATGTGGCCCCAAATGACCTGGAACTTGCTGTGTAACCAGGTGGTCTCAAATTCAGAGAGATCCACCTGCCTCTTTGCTGGATTTAAAGGTGTGCACAGCTCCACCCAGAAAGATTTAACTTTTTATTTGTATGTGTCTGTAAGTTTGAGTATATGAGAACAGAAGCCAGAAGCTGGTATCAGATCATTGAACTGGGGTTACAGGTATGTGAGGAGATCGGCTTGTTGCTTGGGTGCTGGGATCCGAACTCCAGTCCTCATGAGTACCAGCAAGCACTACTAACTTCTGTAGTCCCTCATTTGTCTTTTTTTTTTTTTAAAGGTGGGATCTTGGAGCCGGGTAGCAGTGGCACACGCATTTAATCCCAGCACTCGGAAGGCAGAGGCAGGCGATCTGTGAGTTTGAGGCCAGCCTGGTCTACAAGAGACAAGTTCCAAAACTACAGAGAAACCCTGCCTCGAAAAAAAAAATGTGGTCTTGATAATGTAGCCTAGGCTAGCTAGCCTTAAGTTTTCAATTCCCTGCATCAGCTTCCTTATATGCTGGGAGTCACGGTGTCGCTGCTTATCTGAGTTTCTGTAGCTCTTACTACATCAAGTTGCCCACCATGTGTAAATTACCCTGCTTTGTCCGCAGGGGCTTTCGCTGCTTTGTAGTAAAGGTTTCTGAATCAGAGCTGGACATGTGTCTTTGGCAGCCTCTGCACTGGTACACAGTTGTGACTAGCCATAGACCGTGTCCCACTGGAATTGCCCAGCTGCTTTAGCTAGTGTACCCCATTCCTACAACAAACACTCAATGCTCCTTGACCTTAATCATGGTGGGACAGGCCTGTCACCCTAGCCTGGGAGCCAAGAGAGACAGGATGGCTACAGCTTGAGGCTAGCCTGGGTACTGCATGGCAAGAGCTTGACTCAGAAAACAAGAGGGGATACTGAAGAGATGACTCAGCAGTTAAGAGCACTGGCTACTCACATGACTGCTCACAACTGTAACTCCATGGGTATCAGATATACAAGTAGTCCACAGACACACGTGTAGACATAAAATAAAAATAAAAAAAAAAAGGAGAGGAGGCAGCAAGATGGGTCGTGAGGTAAAGGTATTTGCCACCTAGTATGATAACCTAAATTCAGTCATGGTAGAGGGAGAAAACAGACACCCTCAAGCTTTCTTCTAACTGCCACCTGCTCCATGATAGGCACGCTTGCTTTCACAAATCAATTTTTTTATTTGATTGGGTTGGGATTTTTTTTTGTTTTTGTTTTTGTTTTAGAGCCACGGTTTCCTTGTGTAGCCCTGGCTGTCCTAGAGCTTGCTTTATAGACCAGGCTGATCTCTAACTCACTGAGATCCACCTTCCTCTGCTTTCCCAGTGTTGGGATTAAAAGTGTGTGCCACCAGTGTTTTTTTTTTTTTGTTGTTTTGTTTTTTTTCCTCTGCAGCTTCTGTTTTGTCATAGGCAGGGGCAACATTTTATCCTACCTTTACCTATGTTAATTTTTCCACTCTATCATAATCTCTTACTATATTTATTAAAAGCCCTCAATAATCAAAATTCTATTTAAACTAACACTATTATTGTATAAAATCATTGCTTCATTTAAACAGTACCGCTTAAGAGAAAATCATCTTTATAATAATCTACAAGTAAAAATGCCCAGTAGAACGGATATTTCCAAGAGATGATCATATTTCATTAAAGGCACTGGAGCATTCCCCATGCCCATTCACACTATGCCCCAGACACCAGAGAAAAATAGTGGCGGCAAACATGCAAAGACACAGCAGTAGCAAGAAACATTCTGGGGCCAAAGCTCTCGGGGGACATTGTCTATCCGAGATTTACCCATCAGGGTTTTGTTTCCTGGTGGGCCAGTCCCCTGCAGTCATTTCCCATCTGCTACTCCTCTGACATGGCTACCAGCACCAGCCTATCTCCAGGTTCAATGAATGACCCCATCTCAAGGGTAAAGGTGAAGAGTGACAGAATAGGACGCCCAGCATCCATTGGCCTCCCCATTTAGGCACATATGAACACATGCCAGATATATTTACATGCACATAGATAGTGCTGCACAAGACCAACCCAGCTTATCTGTGGGTATTGGGATCGTCATGGTTGTGCAGTAAGCGCTTTCAACTACTGAGCCATCTTTTCAGCCCCATTGATGGTGTTTGGGTGTTTTGTGTGTGTGTTTACATATTTATGAGTGTATTATATGAGTATGTGGTATATATGGGAATGTACAGGCCAGAAGAGGACATCAGCTGTCCTTCCTGTCTATCACTCTCCATCTTATTCCCTTGAGACAGGATCTCTCACTGAACCTGGAATTAGGCTGCTGGCCGGCAAGCTCCAGCCATCCTCCAGTTGCCACCTCCTGTAGCACTGGGGTTAGACACGGGTTGTTACACCCAGCTCTTTATTTGGGTGTTGGGGATCTGAACTTGGGTCCTCATGCATACACAGCTATTGAGCCATCTCTATGGCCCCAGAGTTTGTTGTTGTTTGTTTTGAAACAGTCTTACTATGTTGTCCAGGCTGTTTGGAAATTCTTGGGGTCAGACAGTCCTCCTGCTTGACCTCCTGAGACACTGTGGCCACAGGGACACAATGGCACCTCTGCCTCTTGCTACATCTCATATGCACCTGTTTTCTGGGTTAATACTCAAGCCATCAGGCTTAAAACAGCCTGTATACAGTGGTAGTGGGTTTTTGCTTACCCAGCTCCTTCCTGAGCTCCGTGTGCCGCCAAGGGACAATGTCCTGGCTGGAGCAGGACATCTTTTAGAAGGACTTTTTGGTTTTCAAGGCAGCATTTCTCTGTAGCTTTGGGGTCTGTCCTGGAACTAGCTCTTGTAGACCAGGCTGGCCGTGAACTCACAGAGCTCCGCCTGCCTCTGCCTCCTGAGTGCTGGGATTAAAGGTGTGCGCCACCACCGCCTGGCTCAGAATTGACATTTTCTATTTCACCCAGGTTTTCATCTTTTCAACACCAATGTCCCATGATTGAAGGTTCCAGTTGCTGATGGCTTGGGCTTTTATACTGCCCTCTCATTTACTGTCCTGGTCTCCAGGTCTGAGTGGTCCACTGGTTTTTACAACATCCATTCTGTGTATTGCAGCAGTCCCCCAGCGGGCGGATCACAGGGTGGTGGACACCATTGACCAGCTTGTCATGCGTGTCATCCAAGGCAGGCTGTCACCCAGGGAGAGAACACTACTTCTGCAGGACCCTGCTTACTGGTAGGCAATGCTTATTTTGTCTTTTTTTTTTTTTTGACATGTTCTTATATAAAGAAAATATGTGTTTTACCTACATGTATATCTGTATACCATGTTCATGCAGTGTCTAAAGAGGCCAGAGAGTGTGTCAGATACTCAGGAACTGGAGTTAGAGAAAGTTTGAACTGCCATTTTAACTGGGTGCTGTTAACTGAAGCTGGGTCCTCTAGAAACACCAAGTACACCTGAGCTATCTCTCCAGCCTCTATTTTATTTTTGGTTTGGTTTGGTTTGGTTTTGGCTTGGTTTTTGGTTTGTTTGTTTTCTAAGACAGGGTTTCTCTGTAGCTTTGGAACCTATCCTGGAACTAGCTCTTGAGACCAGGCTGACCTTGAACTGACAGAGGTCCACCTGCCTCTGCCTCCTGAGTGCTGGGACTAAAGGCGTGCGCCAGTATCGCCCAGCCTTTTTATTTATTTTTTAATTGTAGCAGATGGGGTCTTACATTGTGGCCCAAGCTCTGCTCAGACTTCTGGGCTGAGGGGATCCTTCTGCCCCAGCCCTGGTTGCTCAGTGGTATTTTGCACATTCTGTAACTCCACACTGGCTGTATGTGAGCTGCTCTCTGACCATTCTTGCTTTACATTGTGAATATATTCTGCTTACATGATACACAGCTGAAGTGAGCTGGAGCAGAAATCAAATGTAGGGCTTCAGCTTCAGCCAGATTTAAGCAGGGGAGGAGGCCACATGGCCTTAGATGGGTGAGGAAAGCTGAGACCGCTTGGTAAGAAGGGACCAGGTATAGGGACGTAGGGTGACTTTACTGGAGGGACATGGTCCTAAGAGGACTGCCTCTGCCGCATGGACACTGGGCATTGCCTAGCAGCTGATGATCACCACTAGAAGGTTGGAAATAGGCATTGATTGAGAAAGCTAAGATTTGAGGGGAGCCACTGTGAAGGAGAGGTGCCCATCTTGACAAACAGAGTAATGAGAGAGGAGATTTAGTGTAGGATATGCATGCACAGTGGATGCTCTCAAGTGGAGACAGCACCAGAACCATGAGACAGGAACTGCTATTAATGGCCCAGAACCTAGTTAGGGTACAGTTCACTTAGTGACCTCTCTGGGCCTACATGCAGGGACACACCTGATAAAGCCTAGCCTCTGGCTTTCCCTAGCTGTGGAGGGAGATTCCACAATCCCTTTCTTGTATCCTTACTCTAAAGCCAGAACCATGTGGCTGAAACTGCCAAGTTTTTGTGCTTGCTGGAGCAGCTCCTTGGTTCAAATACATTTTCATCAGCTTTCTAAAAAGTTTTTAGTGGTGTCCTCCCCTGCTTAAACTTTTCTTTAATTCTTTTTCATAAGTTGATTTCCTTCACAGCCTAAATGTAGCTGTCCTAGAACTTACTCTGTAGACTAGACTGTCTTCAAACTCAGAGATCTTCTGGCCTCTGCCTCCCCAGTGCTGAAATTAAAGATGAGCAATATTACAACTGACCCTAACTTTTCTTTAATTTTGTTTTACAAGTTGGAAGCTTAGTTGAGTGGGGTCTGGCTGGCCCTTAGTTCATCATTCCCTTTAAACTTTTTCTGGCCGGGCGCGGTGGCGCACGCCTGTAGTCCCAGCTACTCGGGAGGCTGAGACAGGAGGATCGCTTGAGTCCAGGAGTTCTGGGCTGTAGTGCGCTATGCCGATCGGGTGTCCGCACCAAGTTCGGCATCAATATGGTGACCTCCTGGGAGCGGGGGACCACCAGGTTGCCTAAGGAGGGGTGAACCGGCCCAGGTTGGAAACGGAGCAGGTCAAAACTCCCGTGCTGATCAGTAGTGGGATCGCGCCTGTGAATAGCCACTGCACTCCAGCCTGGGCAACATAGCGAGACCCCGTCTCTTTTTAAAAATAAATAAAGAAAGAAAGAAAGAAAAGAAAAAAAATAAACTTTTTCTGTTTTGTTTTGGTTTTTTGAGACAGAGTTCCTCCATAGCTCTTGGAACCTGTGGGATCTGTCCTAGAACTTGCTCTGTAGACTAGGCTGGCCTCGAACTCACAGAGATCCACCTGCCTCTGCCTCCTGAGTGCTGGGATTAAAAATATGTGCCACCACATGTTTTAAACTTTTTATCTCCTTGAGCTCAGGACTTAGCTCCATTGTACTTCTTGGTGCTCCTTTTCTTCTCAAACATGTTCCTTGCTCGGATTGCTCATTTTCATTATAGATCTGCATAAGAGTGACCACTAATAACCACAGAACGCTGTCATGCTAGGCTGTCTTGAAATAGCCTTTGCTAAAGCCATTAATCAAAAACTCTACAATTTAGCCTCTGGTAGATTTTTTGACAAGAGCAGAAAGCAGCCACATTTTTCACCAAAATATCACAGTAGCAATCTCTGGGCCACTTAATAATAATCTTCCCCTCTGAAACTTCTTGAGCCAGACCATCCTACGTCTGTCTTCAACGCTTCTACTAATTTGTCTCATTAAGTCCTGCTTAAAGCATTCAATTGCTTTCCTAATCCAAGGACCCAAAGTCCCTTTTCTACCAATAAGCAGCATGATCAGTACATCACATCAATACCCCCCCACTCCTGGTGCCAGCTTCTGTCTTAGTCAGTGTTCTGTTGCTGTGAAGAGACACCATGACCATCCCAACCCTTTTTTTTGTTGTGGTTGTTTTGGGTTTTTTATTTTGTTTTGTTTTTTGAGACAAGATTTCTCTTATGTACCTTTGGAACCCATCCTGGAACTTGCTCTGGAGACCAGGCTGTCCTCAAACTCAAAGAGATCCACCTGCCTCTGCCTCAAATGCTCAGATTAAAGAGATGCGCCACCACTGCCCGGCCAACCATACTAACTCTTATAAAAGAAAACACTTAATTGGGGCTGGCTTAAAGTTTCAGGGATTTAGTCCATTGTCATCATGGCAGGAAGCATGGCAGTGTGTGGGCAGACATGATGCTGGAGAAGGAACTGAGAGTTCTGCATCCTGATCCACAGGCAGCAGGAAGAAATTGCCATGGAATCTGCCTTGAGATTTTGAAACCTCAAAGACCACCCCTAGTGACATACCTCCAAATCCACATCTCCTAATCTTCTCAAGCAGTGCCACTTCCTGCTGATTAAACATTCAACCATGTGAGCCTTTGGGAGCCATTTTTTAAGCCACCACACAGTACTTATGAAAGTGACCACATTTCCTTCTTTCTGTAGAGTAACCCTGGAATGGGAACCATAGTGGCCTCACACGCTGGGCAAATGATCTACCCCTGAGCCATACTCAGGCTTGGTGTTTTGTTCTCGTTTTTGTTTTTCTTGATGGACTCTCTCCCCAAGTCTGGCTCAGACTTAGAAAGTAGCCAGGGCTGACCTTGAACTCTGACTGTCCTCCTGCTTTAGCTTCCCTGGTGCTGGGGTGGCAGGTGAGAAACACACACAGGTGTCTAGCCTATGCTTCTCTCTGTTGCTGGCTCTCACATGACTTCTAACTTGTAATGACAGTAGGGCTTTGCCAATGGTTCCCTCAGCATTTGGGAAACTCTCAATCGCTGTTCTAGGGCTCTTCAGTTGTTACCTCTAGTATCAGCAAAAGGCTGGTCCAGACCTCTGGATACTAAAGTCTGGCTGTTCAGCGCTCTATGCAGAATAGTGTACTGCCTGCATGAAACGCATCTCCAGCACATGGTTTTACTTTGATTTTTGAGAGTCTGTGTAGTCTGGGCTTATCTGGAACTTGAGATCCTTCTGCCTCAGCCATCTCAGGTGTTCCACCTCATCCACCCTCTTGTGTGCTTTACAGAGTCTTCAGCTTACTGGAAACACTGGAGACAGTGTGACTATGTCCATAGCTGTTGGACTACATTGATAAGGGGCGAAAGTGACAGGAGTTTCTTCTCTGTGTTACAGCCAGGCTTAGTTGACTCCCACGCTGCATACCTTCTCAGTGTCAAGGAACCTGTGATAGTTGTTTGTGTGTGTGTTTATTATTGTGCTTTGTTTTTGTTTTATGAACTGTTGAATACCTGTCAGGTGTTCATGTTGTACAGGACAGTCAAAGAAAAGGGGTCACTTCCAGAGTTAGTTAAGGCTCTGTGGCAGCAGGGAGGAACAGTTTTGAAGAGCTGAACCTCAAACACTGTGCAGAAGCATACTTATGATGGTTATGCAAAGGTGGTTTTATGGGCAGAAGTTCCTCATACCAAAGCCCCCTGAACTAATACATTTTCTGAAGGAAAGCATCATACTCCTGCAGCTTCAGTCCTTGCTATGCACTGTTTGCAAGGTTCTGCAGGTGTGCCAGGGTAGTCTTGTGGCCAAAGTCATGCAAAGGCTATAAAACTTCAGAAAAACTTTATAGATAACAGAAGACAGCCACCATTTTCTATAATGTTTTCTTCAAGATCTAGGTACTTCTAGAATTAAACTATTTCATTCTAATGTTTACCCTAGATACCATGATTCTTCTAGAGTTCCACTACAAATGCCAAATCAAGCTGGAGGACAAGGCTCCCATTCCTTCTGTTGTTTCATATCCAGCAGAAATTTGACACCCTGTACGTGAGGGAGGCAGTGAGGTGACCACCACAGCTTGGTGTGTTCAACTGTCTAGGGCATCAGACTCTCCTCAGTCTTGCCACGCCTGCCTCACTGGCACACAGAAAACTCTAGAAGCACTTGACCATCTAGCCGTGTGAAGGGTGCTCCTCTGTCTGCCCTGCAGCTCCTGCTGTGAGTTGACCAAAGTCAAGAAAGAATCCAACCAATTCTCACTTGCACACCTTTAATCCCAGCACTCTGGAGGCAGAGGATGGTGGATCTCTGTGACTTTGAGGCCAGCCTGGGCTACAGACAAATAAAAAGATAATGGCTTCTTTTGTAGTCCAGACTAGCCTCAAATTCTCTGCAGTCTTCCTGCCTCAGCCTCTCCAGTATTAGGATTAAGAATAAACCCAGTTGGATCAAAGCTTTTGACTTTCTTGGGGCACCTGGACAACAGAGGGCTGCATGCGCCACACTTAGGAGGGCAGCTCTGCCTTGCTGAGCACAGTACTGCTCTCATAGTACCCTGCTTGTGTCTGTTTGGCAGGTTTCTGTCTGATGAGAACAGTCTGGAATATAAGTACTACAAATTGAAGTTGGCAGAGTCACAGCGTCTGAACCACAGTTGGCCCATCATGGAACGGAGGCCAACACCAGCCCAGTGTGCAGTGCGTGCTATGCTGTATGCACAAGCTGTGCGAAGTCTCAAGCGTAGACTCCTCCCGTGGCAGCGCAGGCGGCTGCTTCGCTCTCAGGGTCCTCGAGGCCTGAAGGCCAAGAAAGCTGCCACTGCCCAGCACACATCCCTGTCCTCAGGCACTCAGCAGAGGCACCGTGGCCGCCAGACTGCAGCAGGCTCCTTACAGGTAAAGCCACCACCACGGGACTCAAGTGATGCTGCCCAGGACTGCCTACCAGAGCCTGCCAAACCCCAGCCTCAGCCCTCCTGCCCTGGAGCCTTGGGCCCGTCTCCTCGGCCAACAGCAGGGGATGACTCAGGAGCCCTGCCGTCCTCTTCTCCCTGCCCCTCTGCTGATGGTAGGTGCTCACCCTACCCCTCCTGTCACCATGCTCATCTGGGTCCTTTGGGATGGTGGGATGGGGGTGCCAGGTGCTCAGGAATCAATGCCAGGTGGCAGGCTGGAATAGCCAAAAGAACTTGAACAGGATGGGCACTTGGCCACACTGTCCTTGATGTTACTCCTGAGCCCCAACTCCTTGATCCAGGTGACAAAGTGCTGTTCAGGTCCTTGCTGGGTCTCTCACACCACCATTATCCTCACATGTGCCAGAGTCCACTGAGGCAAAAGTTTTGTGGAAAAGGACACAGTTTTCAGAGAACCAGCACACGCGCTCTTGATACTTTGCTTATATTTTGGATGTGTTTGTGAGAGTTTTGAGACAGAATCTCTCAATATAGGTCTGGACCTCACTATGTAGACCAGTCTGGCCTCGAACTCACAGAGCTCTCCCTGCCTCTGCTTTCAAGTGCTGAGATTAAAGACATATGCCACAGTGGCCTGCAAGAGCTTACTTTGTTTGAGATAGGGTCTCATTCTCTAGCCCTGATTGGCCTGGCCAATACTATATAGCTGGGACTGGACTGGAACTCACAGCCACTGACCTGCTGCATCCTTGTCCCTGTGCCTAGTCTCTACTACATTTTCATCTTGTCTAGGTTGCTTACAACATCTAGCACAACACTCACACTATGTGAAACTGGCTGTTATGGGGTACACCTGTCATTCCAGCACTTGGAAGGTAGAGGCAGGAGGACCTGAGCTTCAAGGTCAGCCTCACCTACGTGAGACCTTGTCTCTTATTATAATAATCATAATAATGGTAATAATAATAATCTGAAGAAATACTTCTCTATTATTTAGGAGGGATTAGGAATGTGAGGCACGGATAGAGGCAGTTGCTAAGTGACTTCATTGGTCTGTGTTCAACAGTGCTGGCCATTGAGTGGGCCACAGGCCTACTAGGCAAACACTCACCACCAAGCTGTACCCCGAGACCATTGCAGGTATTTTCAACCTGGTCTGGTCAAATCTACAGGTGCAGGGCCTATGCAGCCCAAGCCCCCCATGGTGTTTCCTTGGATGCCTTCCTTCTGTGTCACTCTGCCCCTGCCCACGTTTGAGGTTAATGATGGCCCCTGTGGTCACCAGCAGCTTACCTGTCCTCTGCCCACTGCTAAATAGCTTGCACTGGAACACGTGCAGACTGCACAGTGCCCAAGCCATGTTTCTCTGCTCCTGGCTGCTCCAGCAGTGTCCTGAGCTGCTGGCAGGGCGTCTGCTGACCTGAGCTTTGAGAGTTTGAGCAACAGTTTGGCAGCCTGTTGGCTGATGTAATGAGGATGACAGCCATGTGCCTGTTCCCCTGACAGCCAGCCCAAGTGTCCACGGGACTGCTGGTGCTTCTGCCACAGTCTGCCTGTTGACTAATTGGAACAAGGAGAGGACCCCAGAGTCATGTGGTGCAGGGAAGGACCATGTGGTGCAATGTGGTGCAAGGTGGCTTGAATCAATCTAAGAGCCACAACCACTGCTTTCTGTTTTGTAGTGGATCCAAAGACCATGGAGACTGCTGAGAAGTTGGCCAGATTTGTGGCTCAGGTGGGCCCTGAGATTGAGCAGTTCAGCATAGAGAACAGCACCGACAACCCTGACCTGTGGTATGTGCCTTGTACCCACACACACACACACCCCTGCCCCCAGCCACACACTGAGCCGGCAGGATGGACTTCCGCCTTCAGCTGAGCCTGGCCCAGCACTGGCATCCTGTGGGTCAGCCTTTACCTAGATCACCAGGAGACCCGTTGCCCTCTTGTCCCTCAGCCCTCACACAAAGACTGGGTACACCAGCAGCATTTGTGCATGTGCCTCACCACAGGTCATCAGAGTAAAATCCAGAAACCAGCCCTGAAGAGCCCCAGCTGCTGAGGGAACTCTAACCTAGTGGTGGAAGGCCTCTATGATGGAGGTTCTCCTGGGCTCTTCCAGAGACCCTGTGAGATCTCCCAACCTCCGCTGTACCCATGTGTTCCCAGGACCAAGCCTGGCACTTGGCTTTCCTCCTGCTTGTTGGAGAGTTATGTCATGGTCTGACTGAAAATGCAGTTGAACGTTTGCTGGGTGCAGGAGGCCTGAGTCTGTCCATGGTGCTGCACTGGAGTGTCGTTGGAAACATGCAGGTTTGGGCCAGAGCTGGAGCTCAGTTGGTAGACTTCGTGCCTGGCTTGCACAGAGCCCTGGTGTATGTTCCCAACACCGAGTAAGCTACATGGTATCGCACAGTAGTCTTGCTAGCACTTGGAAGATGGAGGCGGAAAATTCAAGGTCATTCTTGATCCATAGGGAATTCGAGGTCCGGCTTCAGAAAGCACAGAACGGAAGGATGGACAGAAGGTAGCCAGGCTGGCTTACATATCTTAAAGAATTTAAAAGTCCAATGCAAAGAAAGCATGCTGCTCTCGCTGCCTGGGCCTGATGTGTAAATGCTGTGTCCTGCACTCCTCAGCTCTGACCTTTGACTGTCTTGCTTAGACTGACTCCTCCCTGGAGACCTGGCGTGCCATGCTCAGAGCCACATCCTGCTTCTACCCGCATGTACCTGTCAGGGCTGTATCAGCCCTTTACTTGGGCCATTTTTCTAATTGAGTGTAGACGACAGTTTGAACAGAGCGTTTGCTGTCCTGGCACTCTGACTCCTGCACAGCAGATACTCTGTCCACTGAGCCCCAGACCCCAGGGGTCAGAGGACAGCTTGCAGGACTTGTCCTCTTCTTTCACCATGTGTGTCCAGGGATCAAATTCAGGTTGTCAGGCTTGGAGGCAGGCAGCGCCTTATCCCCTGAGCCATGTTGCTAGCCCCCATATTTGAATTTGTGGGGGAATGGCAAGGGGGGGGGAGTTTGAGTTTTGATTTTGAGACAGGGTCTTTACAGTACAGCCTTGGCTGGCTTGGAGCTCATTATTAGACCAGGCTGACCTCAAAATCACAGAGGTCCACCTGCCTCTGCATCCTGAGTACTGGGATTAAAGGTATGCAGCATTATGCCCAGCTGAAATTTTGGTTTGTTTGGTTTGGTTTGGGTTTGGGTTTTTTGAGACAGGGTTTCTCCATGTAGCTTTGTAGACCAAGTTGGCCTCAAACTCATCCACCTGTCTCTGCCTCCTGAGTGCTGGGATTAAAAGTGTGTGCCACTACTGCCTGGCCCAGTTGGAATTTTTAATCCATTTTGTTCTAAAGT